AGAGAGAGAGAGAGAGAGAGAGAGAGAGAGAGAGAGAGAGAGAGAGAGAGAGAGAGAGAGAGAGAGAGAGAGAGAGAGAGCAGTAGTTCACAGTCCATACAGGGAGGCTGTTTAACAAATGGAACAAAACTTACAAAAGTGACAAGCTTTCTAGTTCTATGTGGAGGACAAACTTAGATAAAGACCCATCTGCAGGTATGCTGAAGCTCGGACTCTGTTGTACACACAAGTGAAGACCATATAGATTATTACTGCATGTAGAAATTCGGATTTCATCTTGAACTCTCTTGCGCAAGCGATTGCCTCTTAACCGTCGTTTAATTGGAGATGAGTCCGTAAGGGCGCATATATTATTACTGCATGTGGAAATTCGAATTTCATCTTCTACTCCCTTGCATAAGTGATCGCCTCTTAACCCTCATTGAACCGAAGATCTGTCCATAAGGGCGCATCCTCCCAGCCTGGCAACCACGCAAGAAGAAGCAAGACATATATCATACCTTACTCTTCCCTGACTAACTCTACAACTGTCAAACTAACACCCTGTAACAGGCTGAAAGATTATGAAAACATAACTCATTTCTAATCACAGTGGTATTAGTGAACAACGTGTACTTACCACTTCCTCCTTTGTCTGCTCCCTGCCAGAATCCTCTTCGTTTTTCTGTATTTCCCCTTCTAAACCGCTCTCTCATCCGCTGAAACCTTACCCGCTCGTAGTCAGATTATCACTTAACTTAAAATCATGACAATCTTCTTCCTATCCTACTTAAAGACTTGTTCAGATCATTGAAACCTTCTTACTTAAACACTTGTACTTGCCACTTCCTTTTTCTTCTCTCCCCTAAAGAGTTGTACTTACCACTTCCTTTTTCTGCTCTCCTCTAGGGATCCCGTTCATCTTCCTCCAGTCCCCTGCTACACACCCCTGCCTCATCCTCCTATTCGCTCCCTACATACCCCTTGCGATCCTGTAATTCCTTGTGACGTGTCCCTTACCGTCCTGTCATTCTTTCCAATACCCCTGTTCATCATCTCCTTGAAATTTCCCATGATGCATCCCTTCTCTCTCTCTGCAATCCCCTGCTGCACACTCCTTCCTAAACTCTCCTGGCTATACATTCCTTCATTCTCCAGCTATCTCCTGGCTATACAACCCTTCTTCTTTCGCAAATCCCCTGCTAAACAACACTTCGTATTCTTACAGTCCCCTGCCACGCACCTCTTTACGTTGCAAGAATGATATAATCAGCAATCAAGAATCAACATAAAGCTGAGACATCATTGGTCATATGTTCCTCTACCTAGTTGAACGGATGACAGTGCCCAGAAAATGAGCAACGTGTCAATTAAGGGTCCAGGGATTATGACACCACCAAACCGATTCATCAAAGCTTAATAAATTGCTAAGGGAACTATGTTTTAGCTCTCAAGGGCAGCTATTCAATGAGACATGCAACAAAGTCGCAACAACCGTGAGATGGAAGATCAGAGTTTACACATTGAAAGAACAACATACCGTACGAATTCTACTTCGAAGGAAAACAACGAAATTAGCAAACATGAAGACAGGGCAAGAAAGCAAAGTGAAAGGCAGCTAGAGACAGTAAACGGAAATCATGCATGGCGGATGTGGTGACGTCAAAAAAAATATTACATGGAAGAGTGCCAACCACATTGAATGTGCAATCGCATCATTACCATTGGGAGTGACTATACAAAAATGGCATTTCTCGTCGTCTTTGTGTGTAAACTTGCAAAAGCAAAGCGTCCCCCAACCACCAACACTCTGGTCAAGAAACCTGATGTTCTTGCAAAAACCGTCTTCTCGGAAGTTGTGGATGCTGCTACATGATGTCGGGACACCCGTGCCATGCTCGTTTTTCTCGCACAGACCAGTATTCTCCATTGAAGACCCAGAATGGCTCTTGCGCTCCTTCAGCGCTGGCCCTGACCTGTGGATCGCCAGGCGACGTCTGATCCCACCAACAACAGAACCCCGACAACCATGCATGAGACCCCCTGTGAACTTCTGAGCAAAAACAGCAATGTGTAATGTTTGCCAGTGTGCCAGCTAAAACAGATTCAAATCAATGCTGTAAACCCGGTAGGACCGGGGGGCCCTCCCCCAACCGGAACTGGATCAGTCCTATCGGTCGGTCGACCGGGCTGGTTCCCCCCCAGTTGGCCGTAGCGCATCATTTTTTAATTTAATTTAATTTAACTTAATTTTTTATTTTTTTTTAAAGCCCAGGGTGTTGTTGAGGCCAAGGACTAGATCCACAGTGATCGCTGGCAGCGGCAGCCGGTGGTTGTTCTGACAGGATAGGCCACCTTCCCTACCCTTCCCCATGTTGATACTCCCAGCCCATCCCCTATCCCTACTATCCTGCCTCAGTGCGACCAGCACTCAGGACCATCACCCGACCAGTATCGAGGGCAACTTGGACCAGACAGCAGTGACAAGCACCAAGGGGCTGTAGCGCATCCAATCTGGGGGGGGGTTCTTACCGTTTTTTTTTGGGCCAGGAGGCCTCCTCGCAGGGTGGCCTATCTGGACTGCTGATCTTGAGAGATCGGCAACCAAGATAGGCCGCCCTTTTCAAAGTTTTTGGGTGGCCCCCCCCCCCCCCCCCCCCCCCCCCCCCCCCCCCCCCCCCTTTTCAAAGTTTTTGGGCGGAAGGTCAACGTTTGCAGAAAGCCAGGTGCATTTATGGGCATAAGGTCATTCAAGGCTTCTTGTTCAAAAATATTATTATCAACTTTCAAAGCCTGAAACACTTCTTCAGAAAAGGGCACTACATTTCATCATAATCATGCCTTTTTCACCCCCACACCCAACTCAAGTGCCCCATCTACTCTGGGGGGCCAGTTGCTCATCACCGGCAACCAAAATGTATCATGCCTTTTCTTGCATTGGTGTGTTAGAACTTAGAAGAAACACAGAAAAGAACAAAAGGCAAAAACGGTAAAAAGAGGAAAGAAAAATCCTCCTTGCAGACCGCCACAGGTGATCGTATGCTAACCATGCTTTGAAATTTGCTTTAAACTACTAGTGGCCCCAGTGCTTCAAATTCAGATATCATTATGGCCAGAAAGCCGAAAAAGTTGGTAGCAGCGGGGCACAGAAACGTGAAAAGAAAAGTGAAAAATGCGCGAGTTCGCCGCCATAATGAACTCCACAAGTATCGATTAAAAATTTAAAACCTTTGTTACCAGGGTTTCCCAGCCTGGGCTGCCCGGCCGGGCGCGGGGGCGACCCACCCGGACACCAAAAGGTTTTTCTTTCTTTTTTTCTTTTTTTTGGACACTAGGGTAACTTTGCGTCCACTGCGATGTACCCAAATGCGGCCTTATCTTTGAATTTGGTGGTCTCATCAAAGGGTGTCTATGAAGTACAAGTGGGGTTCAAAAGGGCTCGAACGGGGTATGAATCGGTATGATATAATCTAGCTTTTTATGGAACTGGCTGCTCATGCAACAAGATGAGGGGAGGCGCCATAACAGACACCAATTGTTTATAACATGGCTACCGACCGGACGTCCGGAGCACCATCCAGACAGTCTGGACCCGATAGTATGTGTTGGGTGTCCGGTTTTGGGTCCGGTTTGGCCCCCTATAAAGGATTTTTTAAAAATCGCCAGTGGGGCGTCGGCCTCATGGACACTGCCAGACACGAGGAGGGTGCTTGCACAGGCGGCACAATTTCGAACGAGGGCTTGAACTTGCCACCACCGCCTGCCTGCTTGAAGCCGCTGCCTCCTCCAAGCTACCACCAATCGAAGCTGCTGCCACTCGCGTTCTTGGAGCTGCTGCCGCCGTTGCCCATGTTGGAGCAGCTGCCGCCATTGCCATCTTCCTCCTGCAGACCAGATTGCTCTCGTCTTCTGCCATCAGGGAGCCAGCCTTCAGCTCAGGTGTCGCGAATCCAGCGGGAAACCAGCCAGCTTTCATCTCTCTCTCTCTCTCTCTCGCTCTCTCTCTCTCTCTCCCCCCCCCCCCTCCTCCCCATCAGCCTCCATCCCTCCCATTGGCACATTCTCTTTGTGACTTTCTGCCGGTGACGATCCTTTCGTGAGTAGGGGGATGGATGGATGGATGCCCTTTCGTTTTTTTGTTTTTTGTTTGTTTTGGTCATCTATGGTTGTTGGGTCTTGAATAAGGGTTGAGGCGAGGAGGAAGAGGGATGGATGCATGGAGGGGGTCGACGTGGGAGGAGGAGGAAGGATGGAGCCATTTCTTCTTTTTTTTTTTTTTGTTAAATGCCAACAAAGTGGCCTTGTACGTTTGTGAGGAGGAGGGATGGATGGATGGAGTTCTTGCAGGGGGAGGAGGGTGGAGGTGAGAGGGAGAAGGGATGAATGCATGGAGGGGTTTGACGTGGAGGAGAGGTGGAATGGAGGCAAGCAGGGGTTCAATGTGGGAGGAGGAGGGAGGGAAGAGAGGAGAAGTTGGAGGAGGAGGGTGGAGGCGAGGAGGAAGGGGGATGGATGTATGCAGGGGTTCGACGTGGAAAGAGGAGGGACGGAGGCCATTGCATTTTTTTTTCAAATGCCAACAAAGCAGTCAGTCTTTTCACGAGGAGGAGGGATGCTGTCATTCTTTTGTTTTGTTTTTGTTGTCATCCTCCAGTGTAGATGACCGCTGGGTTTTCGCTAGGAGGAAAAGGTGGGATGGAGGCAAGCAGAGGTTCGACGTGGGAGGAGGATGAGGGATGGAGGCGAGGAGAAGTTGGAGGAGGAGGAAGAGGGATGGATGCATGCGCGGGGTTCGATGTGGAATCGTGGATCCATGGAGGGGTTCGACATGGATGCATGGAGGGGTTCGACGTGGGAAGAGGAGGGGTGGAGGCCATTGCATTTCTTTCTTTCTTTTTATGCCGACACAGCGGCCAGTCTTTGCATGAGTACGAGGGATCCTTTCACTTTTTTTGTTTTGTTGTTGTCATCTTCCAGCAAAGATGACCGTTGTGTCTTCGATAGGAGGAGGTGGGATGGAGATAAGCCGGGGTTCGACGTGGGAGGAGAATGAGGGATGGAGGCGACGAGATGTTGGACGAGGAGGGTGGAGGCGAGGAGGAAAAGAGATGGCTGCATGGAGGGGTTCAGCGTGCATGCATGGAGATATCTGACGTGGGAAGAGGAGGGAAGGAGGCCGTTGCATATATTTTTCTTATGCCGACAAAGAGGCCAGTCTTTTTGTGAGTAGGAGGGATGCTTTCATTTTTTTTTTTCGTTTTGTTGTCATCTTCCATTGTAGATGACCGTTAGGGCTGTTTTTTTTTTTGTTGTTGTTATATGCTAACAAAGCGGCCAGTTGTATCTTCAGCAGGCGGAGGAGGTGGGATGGAGGTAGGTGGGCACACGTGGTTAACCAGGGGTGTTATTTTCGACGAATTTTGCACCGAATTGCACTGAAACTGTCATATTGTGCTGATTTTTTGCTTTTTTTCTTGTTTTTCTTTTTGTGTGATATATATGTGTTTTAGGGTACGTCATGTGTGCAGTTTTGACATGTTTTGATCAATAATGAAAAAGTTGGCATTTTGTTGGATTCGTTGGACGCTTCATTTTGACTCGGACAGTGTCTTTGTGTTAGGGTTTCATAGTGTTTTTTGTTTTTTTTTTTCGTTTTTTTTGGCCTGTTTCCTTTTTTTATGTTTGCATTATGGTCTCATATCGTTTGTTCTTAAAATTTTTGATGAAATTCACGCCGCAATTACCAACGAAAACGGCGAATATTTGGGCCCCAGTTAACCGTCTCTCTAGGTGGGAGGAGGAGGGAGGATGCAGGCAAGCAAGAGGAACTGGGGTGGATGCCACTGCGTTTTTCTTGTTGTTGTTGTTATATGCCGACAAAGCAGCTAGTTTCTTGACCCGCAGTAGGAGGTTTTTTCTTTTTTTTTTCTTCGGTCGAACTTAGCAGCCAGTTGTTTCTTGAGCAGGAGGTGGGATGGAGGCAGGTGCGAGGAGGAGGAGGGATGGAGCGAGTAGGAGGATGAGAGATGGATTCCACTTCGTTTTTTTTTTGTCATTATATGTTGATAAAGCTTGAGCAGCAGGACAGGATGGGATGGAGGCAGGCGGGAGGAGGAGGTGGGATGGAGGCGAGTACAAGGAGTGATGGAGGGTGGAAGCGGAGGGATGGAGGCCAGGAGGAGGGATGGATGCTTCATGTTTCATTGACTAATCCATCCATCCATCCATCTGATTGATTGATTGATTGATTGATTGATTGATTGATTGATTGATTGAGACAATGAAACAGGAAAGGATTTCGATAGACGAGAAAGTGAGAGAATAGGCCGACTCTGACAATGAACATGTTCTTGGTTGCAGAATGACGAAGTACGATAAGGAGGCCAGTAAAAAGCACTTCATAGACTTGGGACCAGTAAGTCCACTCAATAAAGCCAACAGGAGTAGACGATGCAGGTATCGTGACAGGCCAGTCAGCGGGACAGCCAGCAGGGCGAGAGCCCACTTCCTGAAGTCAAGATGCCCAGTCAGTCGAGGGAGGAATTCCAGCGGAGGGAGAGAGGGAGACTACAAGCCTTGTCGGAGCTTGGGGCGGCAAGCACACCGGTGAAGGAGGATTCGTCGGAGGAGGATGAGATTGTGCCGGGAGATGTCACTCCGGAATGTCCAGGGGCTGCCTCCGGGTCTGGGTCCAGAACACGACTGCGTCAGACTACCATCATGGACAACGGTGTCGTGTTTGCGGCCCACGAGGACACTCGGTGCTCCATTGACGACTGGATGACTGCGGAGTGCACCCCTTTTAAGATGATGAGGAGCATATACTGGACAGGACGGTAAAAAGCCTGATGGAGGTGCCAGCCTCGTTTCAATACACAGTACGAAAAGGCACAAATAGTGTGAGTGCAGCCAACCCGGCAGAGGGTTTCTGCAAGGGTAGAGGAATTGTGGCAGTAGTGGCCCACCAGTGGCTGCTTGCTGCAATTGGATGGGTGTACTGACCGGCGTGCGAGGCCACACATCAATGTGATTGTGACGAAGCTGAGGCAGAGTAGTGAGGCCGGGAGAGAGAGAGGGAGAGAGTGAGAGCACACACACACTCACTCAACTCGACACAGACTCGACTCGACGTGACGGACACAGACACAGAGAGGCAAAGTCACAAAGTTGCAAAGTCGCAATCTTGGATTCCGAACACAATGTCGCAGCAAGTCACACTGAAGCACAGGCGCTGAGGCTGAAAACTGAGTCCCCAAACTCAGCTTGAGTCCGGTCTTAAGTACCGGACTCGAGTTCAGTCCGAGGGCAGAAGTGTAATTTGCCTCGGGGCTGAATTGAAGATCGAAGGTCTGAGCCTGGGCACCAGAATGCCGGATGGTGCCAAGTATCGAAATCCGAAAGTGCCAGAGGCGGGATTTGAGAATGGGTGCCACTGCAGAGGGCGCCAACAGTCAGGAACCGAGATCAGAGACTCAAAAAAAATGCATGCCTTGCTGAGTTTCCCGCTTGTTGCTGAGTTTTCTAAGTCTGAGTGTGTGTGTGCTTGCTGGTCTGCGTGCCTGTCTGAGTGCTTGTCGGTTTGAGTGTGTGTGTGACCCGCAAGGGTACTTGTTGCATACTCGTGAATACTTCAACAAGTATGGGCAGAACCAAAGATCAACCAATATAGGATGAGCATGTATGCAGCGGAAGTCTGAGAAATGGACTGACTCACATAGACTGAACTCATACGGATATCACTCAACACACAAACAATCGTGAGATGGTGGGGTCTGAGCCAACCATAGATGATGCTCAGGCCCCGTACAACCATACACAGATGAAAGGTGGGAGGAGAGATGATGGAGGTGGGAGGTGTAGGCAGCGCCAGATGTCACCGAGATAGGATCCAGTAGGTCACCGATACGGTAGTCCAAAATGTCATCGAACAAGATCAGAATGTCGTGAACAATAAGTCACCAATGTCGGAGGTACAGAGTCCTAATGTAGCCCGTGTCAAATCTGTGATGCCGCCGAGTATCAATCCCAACTATCTCCAAGTCTCGAATCCGGTAAGTATCACAGCCTCTTACCACCGAAGTCCAACCACTGATCTCGGTCCAACTCGTATCAAGTCTCCAGTCTGACGAAGAAGAAGAAGAAGATTTAGAAGAAGTCTGAAGAAGAAGAAAAGGAGGAAGAAGAAGAAGAAAGAAGAAGAAGAAGAAGAAGAAGAAGCAGAAGAAGAAGAAGAAGAAGAAGAAGAAGGAGAGGAGATAGCAGAGGAGGAGGGAGAGATGGCGAGGCAGGGAGGAGGAGAATCCTCACTACCCTGTCCTGGCCCTAAACCTTACCTGCAGGATGCAAGGTGGCGCCTTGAGTAGAAGTCCTCTGAAGCTATGGCGCCACCGGTAAGTGCCAGGTAAGTACCTCGCTCGCTCTCTATCCCAAACTGCAGTCTAGCGCTAACCTCGCGCTGCTGCTGTAGCGCTGCGCTCTAAACAGAAATAGCGCAGTGCTCCTCCGAAATGCTGCTGCTCCAGAATGCCTGGGAAGGCGACCTCCTGGTACCTAAGTACCGGTGTGGAAGGCCGGCCTCTATGCTGCGACGCCGAGCCGTGATCTGACTCGTCAAAATTGACGATTCAGATCAGACCAGCGGGCAGCAGCCTCAAGAGCGCCGCCAGGCCCAACGGTAATGTCGTTTGGGCCTGCCCGTCTGGTCTGGTCCTAATTGTGGCCTAAAGGCCAACTGGTGGGCCTACAGTGGCGCCTCCGGTCTAAAGGTCCGGCCTTGGGTCTGGACCGGCCTCCGAACCCCTATCTGTCCGGCCTAACCGGGCCCGTGTGACACAGTGTGTAACACACTCCCCGCCTTAAAAGACCGAGCTACCTGCAAGGGCGAAGTTGTCTGTCCGATACCAGGGTGGGTCGGGTGGGACGAGCTTTGTCCATGGCAAGTCTTCGGGTCTCGTAGTCGGAGAAGATGCGAGGTGCAGATGCCAGTAAGTCTGCGCGGGAGATCCAACGGGTGTCATCCGGGTCACATTGCTTGAAAGTGACTTGGTATTGCATTGGCTTGTTGCCAAACTTGCGGTGCCTGATGACACGGTCAACTTCCTGATGGTCGTCCATAGAGGGCGGATCCTATGATCGTCTGCCCGGGAACTCGTCTGCGGATGGTGGCGTGTAGATGGCCAGCTTCGACGCATGGAAGACCGGGTGCACACGGAGGTGCGGTGGGATGGCAATCACAAAGGAAGGACCTGCAGGGTCGTCGCCTGCTGCAGAAACTACCTTCCATGGTCCAAACCATTTTGGGAGGAGTTTGTGCGAGACGTCCTGCTCGAGCGCGAATTCCTCAGCGAGGACCCAAACAAGGTCTCCTTCGCGGAAAGGACATGGGAGTCGATGTCGGTTGGCTTGCTGCTGCATGCGGATTTGAGCCTTTTGCATGTTCGCGCGGGTTTTGATCAGCAAGTCCCGGTACTTCCGAACGGAAGCGGGAGAGCAAGCGACGTCTATGTCGGGGCCAGTGGTAGAAGAAGATCGGCAAAGACTCGGGCCTTCTCTCCACCGTGATGTAACTCAAATGGAGTGAGGCAGATCGTCGGATGCACCGAAGTGTTATAGGCGAACTCGATGTCGGGAAGCCGGTCAACCCAATCTTTCTGGTCGGGACGGATGAGTGTACGTAACATCATTTGAGCGGTCTGATGCGCTCGTTCTGACTGTCCATCCGTCTGCGGGTGCCGTGCGGAACTCGGCTTCATAGTCGAACCGGACTCCGTCATGAGGGAAGTCCAAAAGGCAGACATGAAGCGAGTGTCTTTGTCGCTCACAATATCTTCCGGAACACCATGGGCGGTAATCCAGCCGGTGTGCAAGAGTCGAGCGAGCTCGGGGGCTGTAGCACGATACTTGCATGGAAGAAAGTGGCGCCACCATTTGAGAACTGGTCGATGTAGTACATCCATCCGCCTATCGTACTAGTGACCGTGTCTTGCGTTTTATAGAAGGTCAACGGATTATTGTCCGTATTCCATTTAAAACGCCAATGACCGAGAAGAAAGTGGCGCCACCATTTGAGAACGGTGACGAACGCGAGTAGCTTTTTTTTCCTAGCGTCGTCGAGAGTGTTGATGGGAGGCACCTCTTGGGAGAAGTACTCGATCGGGTGCCAACCATCCGTATGGCATTGTTCCAACACCACACCAATACCGTACCCAGAAGCATCCATAGTCACTTGGGTGGGTAGGGTGGGGTCATAGATACGGAGGGCCGGTGCGTCTTGCATCGCCGCCTTCAGCGTATTGAACGCGCCACGAGCTGCGTCGTCGAACTCGAATGGTACCTTCAGGGACTGAAGTCTCGACAAAGGAGCTGCCACTTTGGAGTAAGACTCAACGAAGCGCTGATAGTATCCAGCCAAACCCATGAAAGAGCGTACGTCCGTCGTGCAACGGGGTTCTGGCCAATCCACGATGGCTTGGATCTTGTCCGCTAAGGGACGAATGCCTTTCGGCGTCACATATTGGCCCAAGTACACAGGCTCTTGCTTGGCGAATTCGCACTTGTCGCGATTTGCTTTGTACTTGGCTGCTCGCAATCGATCCAAAACAGTGCGAAGGCATACGAGGTGCTCGTCGAGCGTCTGACTATAGACCAAGATATCATCGAGGTAGATGAGGATGGTACGATCGAGCAAGTCTCGGAACTCAGTCGTCATGGCTGCTTGGAAAGTTGTCGGGGCATTGGTGAGTCCAAATGGCATCACGACCCACTCAAAGTGCCCATACCACGTATTAAAAGCGGTCTTGTACCGGTCTTGAGGCTGGATTTCAATCTGGTGGTAACCCGACTTCAAGTCCAACTTCGAGAAGTACGTCGCGCCGCCCAACCGCTCGAGGAGATCATCAATCCTGGGGAGAGGGCCGGCGTTCTTTACGGTTTGTGCGTTAAGTTTTCTATAGTCGATGCACAGCCGTAGGTCCTTGTTCTTCTTCCGGACGAAGAGAACCGGTGCACCGTAAGGCAAACAACTTAGGGCGAATCCAGCCCTTGTCAAGGAGGTCGTCGAGTTGTGCGCGAAGCACCTCGAGCTCCTCTTCGCTCATGCGGTAAATGCATCCACGCGGAGGGACGGCACCAGCCTCGAGAGTGATCCCGTGACGTATGGGCCGATCCGGAACCGTTCCGATGGGAGCCTCGAAGACGTCTCCATGAGGTGAGTAATGCGTGGGTCCGGCAGTGACGCGGCTGGTCCATCCGGCGAGGGGAAAGCATGTAAAAAAACAAGGCCCATCTCCTCTACGTCTTTCCGAGCTATAGCGTTGCGAGAATACGTGACAAGCAATCGAAGTGTGAGGGGTCGCGACCGTACATGGGACTAGCAATCCGTTCCGATCACGGATGCGAACGGTTCGGTCATGAAAGTTCACCAGATGATCGGCGCTACGCAACCAAGACATGCCTAGAATCATATCAAACTTGGTGTCGAGGATGTCGAAAGACACCGGCTCGCACGCAAGGGGCGCAAAGTATACCGGGACACTGTCAATGCATCGATCGATCGACTTTTGCGTGCGGCCGTCCGCGAGTGTMACGTGCGTAGGTTGCGTCTTCCTTCGCACGCGCGGGCCATAAAGGCTTGGCTCATGAAATTGCGAGATGCTCCGCAATCAATCAAGGCACCGCAAGTTGCCTTTCTGATTTGAATGCGGATATAGAGCAAAGGCGTGTCGGTTTCGGTGTACCTTTGGGTGGCATACTCGCGGTCAATCTTCGCGAGATAGGAGCGGAGATCGACAACCGCTACTCCGTCGTCCGTCAACGGAGCTGGTATTACAGCGTGCAAGTAGGAGCGTAGATTTGCCATCAAGGCGTTACAATGCGACCTTGGCAAGATTCAGGTTGAGGGTAGAGGCATCCAAGCGAAGTCCTCTCTCGTGAGCGGGTCAAGCTCCTCAAGTCTTGACCACGCCGTCGAGTCCTCGGAAATCAGTGGCGAACTTACCGGTTCACTTGCCGACGGTGTACAGGCTGCGCATACGCTATCTAAGTGCACGTGGATAGGCTGGTCTAATGGTGGCACCAGCTGGGCGACATAATCCTCGTATGTAGCACGAGAATCAGCGACTAATGCATGCTCCCCGGCAGTGATACCGGTTGCTAGCAAGGCAACCGGTTCCGACGGAATGAGGAGAGGCGTCGCCCCTCTCCGTGCGCAACTCAACTTCCCGAGTTAGCTGGACGGGGTACGCGTGCCTTGCCCTTTTCCGAGCATTGTGCGGTAGTGTGGTTGACACTATTGCACCAAAGGCAATATCCGTACCGTTGACGAAGGTCAAATACTTCCTTGGTAATGTTGTATGCCATCCATGGTTGCTGCCCAGTTCCCGTCGATGTTCGTCGCTTGTGTCGCCTTGTTCTTCTGAACTCTCTTGGGACGCTTCGGCGGGAGCGCTGCAACAACTCCTCCATCACTCGAGGATGCTGCTGCAGCGTGGAGATCGATTGATTCGTCAGGAATCACGACATTGTTATGTGTCGGTCGTTGGTAGCCGTGCTTAGCCACATAGTGCGGTTGGGACTGTCATTCGTTAGCGGCCTTGTCATCCGTTTGGATGACCAGGTTCGCACGATCCAGAATGGCCTGGAATGAGGCATAGTTGTACTCGTTGTCGAGTGCCGGCCGCAGTTCTGTGCACAATCGCGAAAAGAACTCGGATCGTTGGTTTAGGAAACTCAAGTCGAAGCCTGGAGTGGTTACTATCTTCTGCCACTTGATCGTCCAGTCTCGAGTTGGCATGTTCCCTTGTGAGCTGGAGTAGACGTCGTTCATGGCCGCCTTAACAACGTTGCGGACCATGAATCGAGTGAACCACATTTTCTTGAACTGCTTCCACGGAATGTGCGTGTGCAGTTGGGCAATGGTGCATTTCAGATTGGCCGCGGTATGGTTCATCCATGCCTGTGCTCCTCCAATGAGTTGGAGGTAGAGCGCTTTCATCATGTCTTCGGCCGGTACAGTGTGGCAGGATGCTTCGGTGAGGAATCCTTGCCACCATGTCAAAGCGTCCGTCCTGTTGTAGTCGTCAAACTTGCCGATGTTGAAGCGTGGCATCTTGTATGCCTTTGTACCGGCGTCCGGTCTCGACTGCAGTTTGGTGATATCCGTCTTGATGGCGGCCACCGTGCTGCTGATTGTGGCCGGACTAGTGAAGTCACCTAGTTCGCCGATCAGGTTAACGACATGGTCGATGCGCTCCCCGAGCTGCTTCGCCGTGTCTGTCGTGCAGCCTGGCGCTGCTGAGGCCTTAAGCCTCGATGCTGTTGACGCATGTGGTGGTAGTGTTCAACAACTGTTGCTGTTGTTGCTGATGTGTGGCGGCAGCGCAAACAGCGGCTGTTAAGGCTGCAGCGTCTTTCTGCTGAGTCTGTCTCAGTTGTCTGCCCTCATGTATCTGCACTGTCAACATCGTATTGTTCCACATCACCGCCCTCATCATGGTCAACATCAGGTTAGCCAGGTTACTCCTTTCTGCCTCCGCCGGTGTCGGATCCGCCTGCTCCTCCGAAGGCTAAAAAAACATGCCTTGGAGTAGTGCTGTCCAGTGACTCTCATTCTGAGTCAAGGACGCCATGCTGATGGCGTTCCGCTTGTCTCAAACCGTCACGTCAGCCTAAGCAATTCGCCGAGCTTGGGCTGCCGCCTCATTGGCAAGCCGCTGTCGTTCTGCCTCTGCTGCCTCCTGCTCGGCCTTAGCGACGGCATCTGTAAATGCCTGTACCCGCTGAAGGTAATCTGGCAACGTCTCGTGGTCCCCTTGGACCGGACATGTGGGAAGGGCCCCGGTGGTAACCGGTACTGCAGTTGCTGTACTCGATACCGCTGGAGTCGTTCGCCTGCTGAGTCACTGTTGCTAATACTTGGTTCGTGGAGGTAACACAGAGTGGCTACGAACTGCGATCCTGGCACTGCGTCGAGGCAGTGCCCCGGTGTCCTGTTCCATCGACATCAGCCCGAGCTGATGTGGTACTTGAGAAGTCCCAGTGGTCACAGATTACAGGGAGGGTAGGGAGTGTGGGAACAGGGGTAGGATAGATCAAGCAATTCACATACAGTCCCCTGTCCCAATGTGGACTGGACTCCTAATCAAAAGAGAAAAGAGATTGACTTTTGCCCCCCAAACAATTTAATTACGAAAATAATCAATAATTAATAAGAATAATGAATAACAATTAATTAAGAATCATTAATCAATAACATTTAGTAATTATCAATAACGAATTTTTAAATTGTCGGTCGCTTAGGTGTCCGTTGAGATCACCTATGGTCCGGGAGTTCACCGTTGTTAGTGAACTGTCCGGAAGTTGCAGTTCTGAGGTATGATTTCCGAACAGTTTGCCAAATGAAAAAAAATTCGGATAGTCAAGAAGAGAAAACACTCGAATTTTCGAAAAACGTGAAATTTCGGGAATTTCAACCTAACAAGTCCGATTTCCAGAAGGCCGAAGTCCGTATTCGGAAATTCGCAATTAGGGAAAAGAAAAAATTTCGCGAAAATTTCGGATTCCAACCCTAATGTTCCGCGATTGTGTGGAATTTCTGGTTTCACGGTTCCAAAATGCGAATTTCCCCAAATGTGAACAAAAACCGAAATTTTATCGCAACCCTAATTCAATACCGCAATAAAACAGAATACCGAATTAAAACAGAATACCGAATTGAAATCAGAATACCGAATTAAAACCTAGCTTTCCCGGGGCGCCACGCCTGGGTAGGGACCTCGCCCGGGGTACCCCGGGCATGAAAAAAAAAACACTGAATTTTTTTATTTTTATTTTTTGGCCTGCAGGGCCTTGCTGCGCTTTCCAAGTACAGCCCAAATATGGCCTCATTTCTTTTTTTCAGGCATGTTGGTTTCCGTGTGTTTGGGGGGCGGGGAGGGGTTATGGCAGAGGGAGGAGGGAAGAGGAGGTTATGGCGGAGAAGGGAAGAGGAGGTTATGAGGGAGAGGGAGAAGGGAGGATGGAGGTTGTGGCAGTAGAGGGACGAGGGAGGATGGAAGCTATGGCGGTGGAGAGGGAGGGAGTCTATGGCCGAGGGAGCCAATGGAGAGGGAAGAGGAGGAGGGAGTTTGTGACGGAGGAGGGAT